TTTTATATTTAAAAAAATTAAAAAAATCTTCTTTTACGTATTGCATACCAACATTTTAGGAACTACATGGATATTCTTAAATTAGTATTGCATACCCAATATTTTAGGAACTAATTAAATGCTAATTTGATTTGCATACCAAAAATATTAGATTCATTAATTAAATGCTTGATAAAAATAGCAAATCATTAATTATGGTTGACTATTTTACATACTACAGTTAGTAAATAGTATATCTTTTAATATGAGTATAGATAAAGAAAGAAAGAAAAAAAAAAATCTTTTACTTGGAGAGAGAAGAAATTAAGAGAAGAGATAAAATAATTCTCCTAATTTGTGTAGGACTTTTGGCGTGAAATGGAGATGGGAAAAAGGGTTCCAAAGCTAATTATTAATCCTCATAACATTAAAATTTGCTAAGTTTTATTTGATTTTTATACAAATAACAGTCGGAGCAAAATAATTAAAAAGGCGATTCTCATTTCTTGATCAAAGGGCTAAATCAAAAGCTCATAATGGCTGAAAAAAATAAGGCTCGTAATTGATCTCGATAATTACTAAGAAGACGAGAAAATAAGATTGACGATACCGTGTACGGACTTAAAATGATAAAATGATCGACAATCGCTAAACCAAAAATTTTAATAAATTTTGTTTCTCTTTGAATAATATAAATATATTTAAATGTCTAAATAGATTAATTTATCTCAAATGATTAAGGGGGTGATTGTTTATCACTTCTACAGTAAAAAGATCTAATAAAAACTCAAATTTAACTCAACTTTAACTCAATCTAACTATCTCTCATATTATCAATATAATTAAATAATATTAACCAATCATTCTTACACATCACATCAACTTTAATTCATTATTCATCCACTCAAGTAATTTTAACTAACCATCACTCTCAATCATTTTTCTCTTATTTTATATCAAATCAGCTTTAATTATTTTATTTAAGTATTATTTAAATATATTCATTAATAACTAACCATAACACCTTTGGTCAAAATTAACTATAGTTAAAAAACAAATCAAATAAAAACTAGTTGAATCCATAAACAATCACACCCTAAATAGACACTATCGTCTAATTAACCCGGACAATTGTCGAGCTCAGAAATAAAACGCAAATAAACGCATAATATAAAATAAATAATCGAGATGACTTAAACGAGGCTCGGTTCGATCGCACGACGTTCGAGATAATAAAATAAATCAGTCGGACATATTTATATTACACAATAATATTTATAATAAATATGCAATTAATTACAATTAGACAATTAATCCAAATAAATATAATAATAACAATAAATAATAATCCAGAAAAAAAAAATCCATTAAACGAACGAGTTAAATCTGAACTACGCGATTAAACTGAAATCGCCGAACAACGAGCGTTTTAAAAATAAAATAATTGAGTACTTAAACCCATAATTTAAGTACCTCACGACCAATACAATAAATATAATCTCATAAATAAAATTCGATTAATAGAATAATCCGAGAAATGCTATAAATCGAATGGGGCGTTGCAGTTACAGTTTGGTATCAGAGTCGGGCTGCGTTTCTAGCTTAGCGTGAATTATATGAACTCTGTGAAATACTTGGATTATATGTTGTAGTTATGACCACTCGCTTCGCCGTGTCGCACCAACTCAGGTATGACTACATGAGTGATTTTGAGATGCGTATGTATTAATTGATGTTGATATGATAAACTGGGGCTTAGAAAGTCTATCCTCCTTTTGTGAATGTGAACTCTAGTGTTTATTGTTGAACTCTAGTGATATAGAGTTAGGTTATGACTCTAGAGGTTCCCCGTTGTGAGTCTTCAGTATGTTGTTATCGAGTTAAGCTCTGCCCATAGCATTTTTTCGCTATAAGATTTTGTTCAGTGTCCTCGACTAAGGACCATTCGTAAGCCATCTTGAAAGAGAAGGCTCAAATAAAGGCTTTAACATATGGATTGGTTGTTGATCTTATATGTGTATTATCAGTTGATGAAGTTTATGATTAGTTGAGTATGAGTTTCTGCTATGATATGCTAGAGTCATATTTTAGGGTTTTAATTAAGTGGTGTTTGAATAGAAATTTAATTGATGAAGTTTCTCTATGAATTATATAAAAAATCCCTATTTTGAGCATCTGTTTGTGCCTTTGTTTTGACCTTTAAGAACCCGTTTCTTGGAGATGAGTTCTTACAGTGAAATGAATTATATTTTGTTATCTTTCTGTGGCTTTTGGAGAGGGAAAAAATGACGAGACTTACCATTTTGGAAGCGATACAAAAATACACATTATCTCAAGTGTAAAACAGTTCGATTACTTTGTAAAAAAGTGAGAAGAGTGAGTAGCGATTGTGCTTTAGAGAGTTTTATTTATTAATTAAGAAGAAGACGAGCATGTTCTTGATCTTTATGTTCGTAGTTGATTTTGAATTTAAAATAAGTATTTGGAATGAACACTTAGAACAACACGAGGGATTTGTGTTGAAAAATCCACAAGGGATTTATAGTCGGAAAAGTAGTGTAGAGGTGATTGCATTGTAGATTTAGAAAAGGAAGTCTTATGTGTAAATCCTAAGTGTAATAGGCCAAACATCTATATGGATGAAAGAGTTCCGAGAAAGAGCAGGATGCTCTCCTTATGGTTCGTGTTTATGAACTAGCTTCCGCAATTGTTTGAACGTACATCGTTTTTATACTTTAAGCGCAATTTTGGTAATCCCACAAAATTTTCACAAACGAACACTTATAAACTGAGATATAGTCCAATGTCAAAATAGATACAACGTGAGAACATGAAAGTGTTAGAGTTGTTGTTGTGTACTACCTTAGTATACAAAAACGGTCTGTAAGTTCAAAACACAAGTGGTCTGTAAGTTCAAAGCATCACGCTACTAGCGTATCTTTGAGTATTTCACTAAGGAAGATTTAAAACCACAAGCTATATACCATAAAGCAAAAATGGTTTGCTGGAACTCTTGAGTATTACACATATGGCTTAATTTCATAAATGTATGTGTGTGTGTGTGTGGGT